GTACGAGTGTCAACTGGGTAGAAATGCAGTTGACTGGACTTCGCCCTTTCGGTTCGCATACCTCCTTCAACCCTATGCCTGGGGTCGTCCAGTTTCACCTCCTCCTATTTCTGTTTTTCCAGCGTTCTTAGTTTCTCCTCCAATTCCCTTCTCTCTTCTCCAACCTTTTTTTTTCATCCTCTTTCGTCTTCCTCTTCTCCTCCTTTTTCTCCACCTTCTCTCTTCTTCTTCGCCAACCTCTTGTCAATTTCGACCTGCTGCTCAGCGGTATACGGTTGGGTGGACGCTCCAGATCGGCTCAAGACGTGCATGCCAAAAGTTCGGGCGAATCCCAATGGAAATAGGAAACGGAGGAGGGGGGGCCATATAGCAGACAGGGCCAAGAAGCCAAACATCGGGTAGTCATCCATGGCGAGGATCGGCACAGGTACGTTGACTCTGCCTCCTCACCACATAGACCTACACCTCAACACTTATACTAATCCTAACCTAAATCAGGGTCTGACAACTAATTCCCTTCTCACTTCCGTCGCTACAACTCTCCTAACATCCAGTGGGCAACCGACAGTTTAAGGTCAGTCAGCACAGACCTCAGGAATTTTTGAATGACGCAAACAAGTCCTCGTGCCCACTGATATGAAGGATTGCTCTCAATACTTAGACTGGATCCTCACTCATTGCAGCAGTTTTCGGGTATAACTACCATCACCGAATGGCCAGCCGGTCAGTACCCGTCCTTGGGGGATCTCTTTGGCATCCTCAACTGGTGGACCTTACGTCTCACCCCTACTTTGCCCATGCATTATATTGCTGGCGAACCCTACTGCAGTCTACAACTCGTCAGTGTGTCCTGTAAAGTCTTCGGTTGCACGCCGGTCAGTACCCATCCTNCCATGCATTATATTGCTGGCGAACCCTACTGCAGTCTACAACTCGTCAGTGTGTCCTGTAAAGTCTTCGGTTGCACGCCGGTCAGTACCCATCCTTGGGGGATCTCTCTGGCATCCTCAACTGGTGGACCTTATGTCTCACCCCTACTTTGGCCATGCATTATATTGCTGGCGAACCCTACTGCAGTCTACAACTCG